ATCATCAACGTACAATATTATATATATAGCTTGATCCGAATTTAAGTTTTGTATGTAAACACACAAGTCAAAGTGACTTCTCTTGAACCCTATTCCTTTTATGAATTCATCAAATCTTAGGTTCCACTGCCTTGGAGACAGTTTTAATCCATAGAGGGATCTTCTTAAAAGACACACTTTGTTCCCGTCGTCTTTCTTAATGAATCCCTCTGGCTGACTCATTAAGATCCTTTTATATAGACTTCCATGCAAAAAAGCTGTTTTTACATCAAGCTGTTCTAATCGTAAACTATGTTCACAATTGTAGATAGCATTATTCTGATAGATATGTGCTTCACTACTGGCGAGAAGATCTCATTATAGTCAATTCCCTCTTTCTGTGAAAACCCATTGGCCATAAGTCTTGCCTTATACCTCTGTTTTTCAACTCCTGGTATTCCCGGCTTGAGCGTAAAGATCCATTTACACCCACTAGTTTTACCTTGTCTGGAATCTCAATAAGATCCCATATGTGGTTCTTAGCAAGTGAATCCATTTCCTTGACTGTAGCATTGTTCCATAGTTTCCACTTAGGACTCTTCTTAGCTTCTGCATACGATTTAGAATTCTTTTTCTCTATAACTTCAGCAACCAATAGAGCATAAGCTACGAAGTTAGGACCCTATATATTGCAGGAGCTTCTCTATCTTCCCTTCTTACTATGTCCCTTATGAGTAAGTAATCATTGATCGGTGGATTCTGATCCTGATCAGTTTTTTCTCTGAACGCAAGCCGTTCTGAATCACTGTCCCCATCTTACCAGTCTGAACTCCCATCTTCCTCTGTACCCACTGAATAATCTGAACCGTTCTGATCTGAAGCATCTCCACCTTTTAAAGAAGTCTCACCATGTTCATACTCGGTTGAACTTGGTCCTTGAATCAGTTGTTCATCAAACATCACTCTCTTTCCTTTTCTCTTCTGTCTCGAAGTGTCTGAATTCTCTGATTCTGCTGCTTTTTTACTTTTCAAAGTATCCTTGTATATCTCATCCTCTCTGAATACAATGTTTCTGCTAGTTACACACTTAGTTTCATCTGAATCCATACCATGTATCAATTGACTCCAAACAAATATCCCAAGAAGATTCCTTTGATTGCTCTAGGACTTGTCTTTTCTTGTATCGTGTGAACATATGTTGAACATCCAAACCTCTTGAGATGTGACAATTCAGGCTTGTGACCTGACCACTTTTCTTCTAGAAGTTTAAACTCAATCGTAGAGTTTAATGTTCTGTTTATGGGATACACTGCCGTAGATGTAGCTTCTGCCCAGAACTCTTGTTTCAATCCTGTCCCAATCCTGTCTCAGCTAACATACTTCTTACTTTGTCCATGATAGTGTGATTCATCCTTTGAGATACATCATTTTGTTGTGGTGTATATGTACACTTTATGTACTTCTTTATCCATGACGTCTGGCACAAATTGTCAAACTGAGTATTGTAAAACTCTAAGCTATTGTCTGTCCTTAAAACATCTTATTTTCTTCTATGTGTGTTGTTCGACAGCTTCTTTCCATTCTTTGAATTTTGAGAATGCCTCATCTTTCCTTTTAGGAAAATAAACCCAAACCTTCTTTGAGTAATTACCAATGAAGCTTATGAAGTATTTGCAACCTCCAAGACTCTCTGGAGTGGATGGTGAACCCCACAGATCCGAATGAACATACTCCAGGATTCATTTTGTTGTGTGCTTAGCTGTAGGGAAATTTTGTGAGATTTACCAAGAACACAACTCTCACAAAACTCTAAAGCACCAACTTCCGTTTTTGGCAGAAAGCCATCTTTAACTAGAACCTCCATGTTCTTTAAAATCATGTGTTCGAGTCTTTAGCACTTTCTTAGGTTCAGCAAGATTAAATTCTGCTTTAGTTACTTCTCCTTCTAGATAATACAACCCCTCGGTCTACTAACCCGAAATAACATTTTTCTCGTCTTTGTAGAACGTAACTGTGTTGTCTCCTCCTTCATACTTGCACCCTGCCTTCTCTAGCATTCCGTATCAAATAAGGTTTCTACTCATCTTAGGCATATATATAACATCAGTGAATATAACACTTGAACCATCTGGATTTACAATCCTTATCTTGCCAATTTCTTTCACTTTACAATGAGTATTATTTGCCATCATGACTTTTCCCCCATTCATCTCTTCGAAATCAAACAGTAGCTCCTTGTTAGGAGATGTGAAAAGTACATATAGAGTCCATAACGTATTCATTCTCTGAATCCTGAACACTTGCTGTGAGAACTAGAGGCTGACTCTCCTTTGTAGTTATATTGGCCAAAGCATCACCTTTCTTTTGGCCTTTGCTTGGACAGTCTCTTTTTCAATGTCCTTCTTTCCCACAGTTAAAACAAGTATTCTTGATTTCTTTACTGAATCAGTTCTTTGATTTAGATCTGTTGTTATGACTCTTTGAACAACTTTTCTTCTTATGGTTTTTGCCATTTTCGTTTTCAGATCTCTTGTCGGACCTTCCACGGGACTCAGTAACATACAAGCCTTCAGCTGAAGATTTTCCTTTACCAAGGAGGCCCTTAATCCTCAGCTCAGCTTCCTTTGAGTACGCGGATGTAACCACTTCATTTACTGTGATCGTCTCTTTCCCTGTACCATATTGAAGAGTGTGAACCAGAGGTTCATATAATGGAGTTAAGCCTGATAAAGGTTGCATTATCTTATCTTCATCTGAAATTGTCACTTTTAGACTTTGTAAATCAGCTACTAGCTTTATGAAGATATCAATGTTCTCTTCTATTGGTTTTCCTTCTTCCATTTTGTAGCATGAAAACTGCTTCTTCAAATATATCCGGTTTGGGAGCGACTTCTTCTGGTAATGCTTTTCTAGTGCTCTCCACTGTCCTAGAGCAGTGGGCTCATGCATGATCTTCCGTGAGATTTGGTCTGTTAAGCATGTTCTAAGTAAGCTCCGAACCCTATGATATAGGGCTTCTTTCTTTTTATCGATCATCGTTGCTGAACATGACACTTCTTCTGGCTTACCAGTGACCGTCATGATAGTGAATTCATCTGATAACACCTCTAGTAAGTCTTGAATATCAACTTGACCTAAGAACTTGTATTTTCACATACTAAAGTCTCCTTTCCCGTCGAGCTTGTCAATCTCAAACCTTTCCTGAGTAGCCTCAATAACCTCTAACGTTATTTAACTGATCTTTGCAGACTACAGATGCACTGAACCTGAAGACTCAGCCGACAACCAACAGCGAAGATCACAAAACTGAAACGGATATTGAACCAGAGATGACCGAAGAACAACAACTTCTGAAACTTGAGCAAACACTATAAAGGTAAAACCTAATACCTTCCGACGAACGAGACCAGGTGTGATTCTCTTCCCTTCCTCTTAAGAATCTACAGATCTGAGAGTTTAGCTTCTAACCTGGAAGCTCTGATACCATTTGTTGAGACTCAGCTTGAAATCTCTCAGATATTGCAAATTTAACTTGCGGAATAAGGTACAGGAAATAGCAAATCAAACACCAATGATTTGTTTACCCAGAGTTCACCTAGATAGCTACGTCTCTAGGGAGGGATTCGTCTCTCTCAACGGCATCCACTATACTCACGAACACAGTTGACAATGCGATGACAAGTTCTGGTTACACGAGATACAAATAAAAGATCAAGGAATAAAGAATGAGCTTGCTGGATCCAACAAACGCTTGCGGAGGTCAAACGACGACTCCTTGATACTCCGGTAAGATTCTCAATCACTCTTTCGACTTCTTTGTTCGCTTTCTTTCTCTCTCTGTAACAAACTTTTCTTATCTCAGATTCTAAAGTATGAAGACAATGACCTCAATTAAAACAAACTTGAGGGAGTTAGGCCGCACAAAGAAACATGGCCCATGAAGCATATGGCGGAATGGGCTAGAGGCCCAGATCGATAAAATACTGATAAGTAAAACAATCAAGGTTGAATATCTTAGAAAAAAATTTAAAAAACCCATCTATCACCACATTGACAAAGAAACTCCATCCAGATCAGAAGAGAAATAAAAAAAAGGTAAAAAAAAAAAAAGTAATTTTGTCATCTATTATGATTAATTTGTTAATTTAGGTTCCAATATAGTTATCAAATGTAATGTAACTAGTTTTATTGACATGTATTTATCACATTTCAAAAAATTATAAGTGTCATATTTTACTTTGTGACTATCGATGAAGACACAATCTTTGAAATAATATTTTTAATTTTATAGTTCAAAATAAGCTTACATTTTTAATTAATTCTAGGATTTAACTTAAATATTACAAATTTTCAAATTATAGTTTTTTTGTTATTGAACCAAATTTCTCATAATATAATGTGAGGTTTATAAATGAACTTCTTTTGTTTTTTTCCTCTAAAAATTGCTTTTATAAATGAGAAATATCATTTTCTAAAAACATAAATAAGAAACTGTATAGTTGAATAAAAAAAATAAAGAACCACTTGTTAAAATCTGAATTTGCAATGAGATATCGATTTCATTATCTTTCATTTTTTTTATAATTTTATTAATTTATTTTATTAAGATACTCTTTTACATATTTTTAAGAGAGATGTTTTTAGATCGTCTAGTGAAAGGTTTTCACTCTAAAAAATAAAAATTAATGAAAAGAAAAGAAAAGAAAAAATAAAATGAGTGCTTCAATTGTTTTAAGTCATTTAATTTTTTTATAAATCAAAATTTAATTTTTAAATTAAATTACACTTATAATGTGAATATTATATTACATTAAAAGATTCATTAAATTTAATTACACTTAGTAAAGAAATTTTTAATGCCTACAATTTAAAACATACTAGGTAATCGGCCATCACACACGATACAAACTATAAAATATTTTATATATTTAATTATAATTAATATAGTATTAAAATTGTTTTATTTGCATGTAATTAATTATGTATGAATAATAAAATTATAAACGTTTAATAATAAAATGTGCAATGACACGTTGAAATTAAATCTCTTTCACACAGCTTTTTATATATATATATATATATATATATATATCAAACAACTCTTTTTTTCTTTTTTTCGAGAGTACATTAGAATTACGTGGTTATATGTCTCGCGTCTCTTGGACAAGTACGACCTAAATAATTGATTTAACAAAGAGAAATCATCTCAATTTTTCACCGAGAAACAGGAGAAACAAGTAAGCCAAGTAACACCATTCCCCGGTTTTGGACCATCCGGGTACAAACCGGACATCGGGTCTTGTCTTGACATATCCGTTTTACCACTTTCACTCATCACTTTAAGTGACTTTCGATCTTGTTGGTACTCTTGTAATCTACAGAAACAGAAAAATATTTTAAACAAAAATCTAAAAACCAATAGAACTCATATTAAAACCAATTCGGTACCGATTAGCTCTAACCAATGTGGTTCAGACCAAGTAAATAAACCGGTTATTTAAGATTGTACACAAAACGACTTACGTAGGAAATGCGAAAGATGCTGCGCTGTTATTACTTGTGTCGGAGCGATAAGACTTGGTCGGAGATAACGGAATTTGCTGTGGTTGATCCGGTTTAGATACATTGGTTAAGCCATCTCGTCCGGTTTGCACTATGGGGATATTGACTTCTTTGGTTCCAGCGTCGGTCAAATTGATTTTGTTATCATTGTTGTTAATATACGGAGCAGAATAATCGAAATTTAAAAGTTCTCCAGATTTATAGAAAAATTGATCTCCCATGTGAATACTGAACAAAGATTCGTTCGACTGCATGCTCCAATCTTGTTTAGGAGTCATTGTTGTTGCGAAAACCGACGGTGGAATCCGATCTGGTTCATAGCTTGGTTTTGTTTCCTTGTCCATTGTTGTATCTGTCTCCAAAAACAAAAACAAAAAAGAAAGAAATGATCAATGTGTAGTATTTTTCAAAAATGGAATATTTATAACCAAAAGAAGAGCATTCAATAACCAAAAGATTGAAAAGAACAATTCGTTTCTTCAAATTGTGTGAAAATAAATTAAATCTGTGTCGTCATTAATAATGACTGGTTTTCCGTTAGATAAGTCTCCATTAGGGAATTAATTACAAGGCCAGATAGTTTGGACTTCAGTTATAAGTTATAACCAAATCTGTGTCCATTTTTAGATAACTATGTGAGTAACCTTTTGTTAATTGTAAAAATAAAACGTGTGGACTTCAGTTATAACTTATAAGTTATAACCAAAATTTGTTAGTTGAAAAATTTGGACAAATTCAAAGGCTGAGATCCTAATTCGGAGCTTTGATTATCATGCAAAGATAGTGTTTCCAGCAACCACATGTAAACGCTATGAATGCAAATTAACGATTGTGGTTACTTATATATAAGTTATTCGACTCCCTTTTATATAGGTTATTTTTTCTCTTTCTAATATTAGATATTCTTTATTCAGAGATAATGAAAGAAAACATCTTTTTATTAAAGCTCGAACGAGCTAGCAAAATAGAACCATTTTATACAGTTTCAAATCGTTAAAAATTAAGATATATTATTTTCTCAGATGTTTATGGTCGCATAAGGTAGAATACAAACTATGTTATAGTATTTCTGTATACAAATTTATCCGTAAACAAAAAAAAATTCTTTCAAGAAATTTTATCATCTTTCATCAAATATAATCATATCATATATTTGTATACTCGATTCATATAGTAATTATATTAGAAAATTGTGAACGTAGGGAAACATATCTATACAATGTAATCAGCCAAGTTATGATTTATATATTTTTCTTACAGGATATTTTCTTGCCTTTGATTTGGTGCTAATTTGAAACAGACAAGTTGGTTAATGTTTAGAGGGTTGCTTCTTCTTTTTTTTTTAAAGTTCAGGGTTCTTTACATGTTTTTGGAAAATATAAGGGTTTCTTTACCCATTTTCTTTAAAACAAGAGAGGCTACTGTGGACAACTATAATTAGACCTATTTAGGTCATCAATGGCCCATTAGACCTAGATGGGTTTGTCTGGAAATTACAGAAAAAAAATTGTTGGTGTATGCTCCTCGTAATATCATCTTATCTACAAGAAGGTTATATGCCACAAAAATACAAAAAAGTGTGCCAAGAAACCAAAATGGAGAGCTCGCTGCAGAAGCAGTTTTTCAACAACGGAGATAAGCTCTTCAATTGTAAGCTCTTAGTAACACTTTCTTCCCCTAGACTTTTGTTTTCTTTCACTAACCACTTGATTTTTAATTTGACTGTTTTTTCTTTTGCTTTCAGCTCGACAAAATCGATGGGTTTGGATAAAAAAATTTCAAGTAACAGATTCTCTTCTCGTAAACTCAACAAACCTGTTTCATAATCCTACAAATTGTCCAATGTTGTCCATTATCCCTACAAGAAAGAGCAAAAACAATTTAAGAGTAAGTGTTGATTAACTGCATTTTGATAAGAAGTTATGTTTGTTAATGAGTTTGATTGGTTATACCGGAATGGTTCCGCTGTGTTTATTTACAGACCTCCTACAATCCCCTTAAATTATAGACCAAGTTTAAAGAAATGATGTAGTTTGTCACCTGATTTTTTAGAAAGAAATTCACTTAACGATTTTGTTATTTATTACAGAAATTGTATTTTTTTCATTTTCTATGATTCTACAGTTTTTTAGTGATGTCCATATGTTAATTAAATTCATTAATAGCAATGTGAATAGTTTTTTAGTGAAAAGTAAAAACGTCTTGATACATAAGCATTCCAATTTAAATAAACATATGTGATTATATAATTTAGGTTTGTGCAATAAGGAGAAGAAGAGTGCACTCGAATTCAGATACGTACGTACTATTAGAGGCAGGACAAGATGAACAGTTTGTGTCCGAAGACGAACTCAAGGCTAAGCTCAAAGGCTGGCTCGAGAATTGGCCGGCAGAGTATTTGCCACCAGACCTGGCTAGGTTCGATGACCTCGATGAAGCCGTTGATTTCTTGGTTAAAGCTGTATGTGAACTTGAGATATACGGAGAAGTGGGTTCTGTTCAATGGTATCAAGTTCGCCTTGAGTAATTAAATGAGATAAACGTAATGTCTTTTTCTTGTATACTGACTGAACATATGGTCGGTTTCCCGTTAGCAATTTGTTTCGTTCTTTAATACGTAATTGCCAACTATCATCTACCTATTAATTGAGAATGTAATTTAATGAAAAATATTGATTTGTTTTAATTTGATTGGTCAAAATCTTTTCTCTATCCTAATTAAATGTGACATGAAAATGATGATGTGTAATGATGATGTAATTGTGACATGTTATTTACTAACACATGTGGTTTATGACATAGCAAAAAGATTATTTTGTGATATTTTCATTAATAACAAAATTTAGTATACTAATAACTAAATCTGGAATGATTCACCAGATGCATTACGAATGACCTGATATATTATTATTCACTATCTAACTTATATTAAACATGAAGCATTAGTGACTTATGTGTCATTATCTCAGAATTCTGAATTTTTTAAATCTCAATAATAATTAAAAACTTAAATAATTTATTTTTTACAACCAAACAAAAACTTCTCTAATTATTTATTTTTAATAGCATCTAATATTTTAAAAATCTACAATTAATATTTAGGTTTTTTTGTATATAATTTAAATAATTTGATTTAAATAAATATTATAAAAAATTTAAGTAAATCATTGTTTTTTTAAAAAAAAGTATCTAACATATATTAAACAGAAAGCATTAGTTTATGTGTCATATCTCCTTTTTCTAATATTTTTATTAATTTATTTTTGTGTGCTATCCTTATTACCAAATACTTTATTTTAAATCACTTAAATTAAATCGAATTTAAATCGAACCAGTCACAAATAATTCAATAATTGCATTGGTTTAGTAAATTAAATTAGTTACCTGTTTTATTAATAGAAATAAAAGTTATTTTAGATCTACGAGTATTTATTGTTTTGCAAGAGCTTTGATTCACATATTATACAAACGAAAAAATAAAATTATTTTTTGAAACCTCGAACGAAAGTAAATGTAAATCTCACTTTGTATAAGTATAAATTAAAAACGGAAATAACTAAATTTTCTCGACTGACCATTTTTAGATAGTCAAATATTTTTCAAAATTTAATAAATTATATAATATCTCTTAAATATTTTTACAAACATTACTCTGCACGAACGTGCGGGTAGTAACCTAGTATGGATAATAATAGATGAATTTTAGGCTGAACGTGATGATTTTAATACACATGTATAAATATATATTATAATACTATGGATAATACTATATTGTATACCTATTAAATTTACTATAACTCCGTCATGGACCACTGTGACTTTCCATATAGATACACACATATCTATATATATATATATTTATAATACGATATTCATATGGAATACATGCACATATATTTTTATATACTTCAATAGGAAAAATTATAATAACAAAATCACATTGATCAAATCATTTACCAAATAATTTATACTTTTTGTAAAGGCGTGCTCCATTTACGTGCACATATGTTTTCACATACTTTAGTTGGCGAAATTATAATAATAGAATAAAATATTGTTGTGATCTTCTGTAGAACATTCAAAGTTTAAAAAGATTAGTTTAGTTTAAAAATAATAACAAATATAAATATAAGATTTCAGTTTAATAATCCTCTACATTATTTTTCATAACAAACGTTGAATATCCTAAAAAAGCAACGTGCATCTAATAAAAAACCAAAATCATTATCCTCTATATTATTTGAAAAGTTTAATATCCATTTAATAAAAACCAAAAAGATCCATATAAACATACGTTCATCCCAAATAACTAATGAAAAAGTTAAATACTCGGATCTCTATATGAGAAAACATCACAACACACATGAGTATTAAACAAATCAAACTCTAATAAACAACTCAAAGTGCGGGCATTACAATTCTATCCATTTATCTAAATCAAATATGGCAAAAATGAAACTTGAAGGTTGTATAAATCACTCCAATCGTGAGTGTAATGAAGCAAGGTTTTATCGCTACACTGAATTTCCAAACAAATGAGTTTGGAATAAAAGATTTAAGAAGTGGCTCCCTCGCAACAGAAAAAACAATGTTCCCTATGATATTAGCCTTCCAAAAGTCTCAGAAGAATATGGTGAGTTTTTCTACCTTAAAATGTTGCTAAATGTTCAGAGAAGACCAGTATGTTTTGAAGATATTATGACAGTAAACAGAGTTTTATATCCAACCTTCGCTGAAACATGTCTTGCAATAGGGTTAATTGAAACACTTGATGCTTAAGTGGAGATGATCTTACAATTATTTGTAGAGTCTACTTGATAAAATTATAAGTAGAAAAATCGCACATATGAGTAGATCGAGACCAACAATGACGGAATCCTTGAAGAAATAATGCTTTAAATTGAGGAAGATTATAGAAAGATAAAAAACATGAAAAACGTTTGTTCAAAAAAAAAAAAGATAGAGAAGATAAAATTTGCAGCCTGATCCGCAAATCCGAAGAAGGTAACCAGCTATCTACAGATTTGATTCATTTGACCTTCTAACATAAGCCTGATCATAGAAAATTAATTTTTGTGTTTTTCAAAATTTAATAATTATTTTTCAAGTCTGTCTCAAAATATAAATGATTTTTTTGTTATAACAAAATGTTTAGTTAAAATTAGATCATATTTTACTATTTAATTTAAAGTCTTATAATTCAAAACACTGACTTTGAATTTCATATATTACAAAAAATTAAAATATTTAAAACAGATTTAAATATTTTATTTAAATAATTACATTTTTAAAATCGTTCATGCCCGCACATGCGTGCGGACCAATATCCTAGTGGTTGTTTAAATTCCCATTCTTTTTTTTCCTAAAAGTAAATTGCAAACAAAATATACAATAGACCATTTAAATACTTGAGGTTATATCTTTTTGCAGATTTTAAAATAATTAAGAGCTAATTTTTAAATCTGATCAAGAGATGAGAGATTTGTATACCCTAAAAAATTCGAGCTTGGGCTAATTTGTTTAGTGGATTATCGAAAATATTTCCGACTAGATCTCACAATTTACATTATACAACAGATGGTCCTAAGTATCTATAAATAACTAAATTTAATTTGTGGTACAAGACAACGACATCTGCTTTAACAAAGTATGTTGGATAATCTGCAAGAAAATTGCATTCCTCCAAATTAAATTTAAGACCTAATATAAAATCAGGAATCCTATAGTTATCCACTTGAAAATTTTACTATTATAATCTGCAAGAAATTACTTCGGTAAGTTTTAAACGACTGAAATGAACATGCCACTATAACATTATAGTTACAATTTAGTAATATGGTTCACGTACTTATGATCCAAGTCTCGTTTTACTATTGGGATGCACCTATTCAAGTGAGGTTGGCCATTTTTCTTTACTCACCTTTACCTCTCGCGCTCTTCAATTGGGTTCGATCTTCTTCTCGAAATGGAAAACTCAAAGTGGTTTGAAACTCATCTTCCAAGCAGTTGTATATTTCTTGTGGAAAGAACGAGATGCTGAGTTTCATTAATCAATTTCCAAACCGGCTCATGTCATAGTTAAGGTCTTCCTCATTATGATCAAGGAAGTTATGGTTACACGTGATTATGATTCATTCCACGGTGATTTTTGACTCTGCTTTATCTATGATTATTCTTCTAGTTATAGGTTCACATGAGTTTCGAAATTTTTGCATTTCTTTTAATCAACTTTGTTTCATCTTTGAGTGCTACTTTTGTTTTTAAATAATTTTCACTGGAAGAAAATGAATAAAGTAAAGACTGAGAAAAAAATATCTAATATAAAATGAGGAATTCGATCATTATCCACTTAACCAAGAATGTTTTGAGAATATATAACATCGGCATGTTTTAAACGACTGAAATCAACATGCCATTAATTAAAAGCTTGTGATGTTTATAAGAGATAATTTGGTAGATAGCAAAAGACTGATAGTCAATTTAAGAAATGACAAGAGACATTTAGATGTTTAAACATTAAAATATTTAACCACCAACTTAATTAAAAATATATTCATACGTTTATTTATTAGATCAAAATATCTGATATTATTTTAATATATTTTTTTTTTTACCAAAATCATTCTTAAATGCATCCACTCCACCACGTCTCTCTTTTTTTCTCTCTCTCCATGTTTCTTGCCAACAAAACCAATAAACAAACTCTTTCTATTCTATATTAGAATTGTTTTACCTAAAATACACGAAGAATCTTGCAATCTCCAGCTAAATTTTTTAAACAAAATGGAAGAGAATCAAAGCAAACCCAATCAGCGAAAGATGTGCTGCGAACGGATTTGCATGAGTTCATATTCATATATATACATCATCTCAGATAAATAGTCATTCATCACTGTAGTTAGACCTTCACCAACACATGGCATGAACTTGCATGTTTATCTGATCTCATTTTAATAACTGTTGCTGTACATCTGTAGCTACTAATGATCTCCCGCAATGTCTATTTGCTGGTTATCACGAGCAAGCAGGTAACAAGGTTAGCTCGTACTTCAAGCTTGACTCCATTGGTACTCATTCCCTCATATGCCACATCCAATATTACATTCTCAGTTTGGTCCAACCTAGTGAAAAATAGTCCATCAATTATTTTAGAAATTCTAAACATATTTTACACTTTAATATACTTTGGTTTTACCATGCATTCATATATCCACCTATCATATCAAATAATACTCCAAAATAAGTATCCTTAACCATCCATCAATATTAGTGGACAACTATAATATCTTGTAAACTTACATATAATACACTCATTTATGAACATAGACAGCTATCAGCTCAAATAACACGCTATAATATAACTTATGTAATCTGCCTCGTACAATAACCACCCATCATACCAAATAACCCTCCAAATACGATAATAACTCTCCATCAATGTTAATAGACAACTATAACACTTTATAGATTTACATTTTACTCATTGTACTTATGTATCAATATAAACCCCTATCATATCAAATAACACGCTATAAAATAATATACGCATATGTTTGCTACGTCTACAATATGTACCTTCTTTCTTTGAGTCATCAAATACTGAAACTGCATCCCTAGCGAAGGAGAATGGGGGGGGGGGATCCCATCAACAGTCACCTCAGCCCTCGGGAATTCAGTATCACGAGGGGAGCATCCACCAACATGGTCAACAACAATACTTGCACCATTAAGATTGAAGTCAAAATCAATAATTATTTTTCAAATATAAGCTAAACTCATGCATTCACTCAGGTATATATCTGTAAGTAGTCATTTACTACATATACTTATAACAATAGTTACATGCTCCACACGTCTACGTCAACAAATAATAAAGATTTTATCTCTTCATCAATTGGCAATCTCACATGCACGTTATGGCACTTGCTGTAAATAAACATAACAAATTTTACTTTTTTGGCATCCTTTAACTATTTTATTCTAGCTCATAAGTGTTTTGTTATTTTCCTAATAAAAACTACAAATTTAGCCATCCACCTCTTTATCACTATTTAGAATTTAGTAACAATAGGTCAAGTATATATAATGCTGTAATATCAAGTAAACATCATACTACTCAAACTTATCGAATTTAGTGAATTGGATTCGACTTGTTTTATAATGTAACCCTTTTTTACTTATTTTTCGGCAAGTTGATATTAATATAATATGTGTCAGTAGCCTTACGACTTCAGGTAGACGTAGTTCGGGTTTTCCAAGTCAGTTAGTTTGGGTAGTCGACTAGTTTAGATATAATTTTTTTTACACGAATCTAATAAAAAAAAATGTAATTAAAAATTCGTTTAAATTTGACTAAGCTCGATTAGTTTGGTTTTCCACTTCGACATAATTTGGTGAAATTTTAGTATATAAAATTAATTGCATCAAAATTTGTAATTCATATGATCACGATATGTTGTTAGTCAGTTATCAGATTTTGACATATGTTATAATTAAATTAAAAATAAAATATAAATTTAGAAAATATAATTCTTGAGTTCAAAAAAGAAAAAGAATATAACTATTAAAATATCTAAAAAAGGAAATAAAATTATAAATAAAAAAACTATATATTTTAGTTAAGAATTTTTTTTAAGTAAAGAATAATCTTTAAACAAAAGATAATATTACTCACATTTTTATTAACACATAAAATATCTTGTAATTTTACTAAACTAATTTTTAACTAAAACTTGTATATCAGATAAGATGAAATAACTGATAAATTGATGAAAAACAATCATAATTGCAGAAACATAATGAAGAAAAAGAACCAATTTTGCTTTAAAATATGTAATCGGTTTTAAATTAAAAAATAGTATTTTTATATGTAATTCATTTTTTTACTAGTTTTAAAATAACATATTATAAATCTGTCTATACGTAGTATTTATCTAGTTTAGTAATATAATTTTGGTTTACCGACAAAAAAAATATAATTTTGGTTTAAAAAATGGGTAACTGATTGGTTCGGTCAAACCAAAATTGAACCAAACCAACAACCGAATCAAATTAAATTTTAATTTGACCGATCACTCCACCTAAAAGAACCGTACCAGAATTAAAAAAAAAAACTAAAAATCTTGGTTCGGCTCGGTTCAGTTAAAAGTCGGTAGGGTTAGGCATCAGTCAATAGATCAATATGTTGAATCTAGATACAGTACAACCTCTATAAATTAATACTCAATAAATTAATAATCACTATAAATTAATAATTTTTGCTGGTTCCAAGTCGGGCCAGTATAAAAATTATCAAAATTTGATAAAATAATAAGATAATAATTTTTTTGAAAGTTTTATATAAAAATATAGTCCTAATAATAATATAAATTAATAATTTTACATATAGGCATATATGAATAATGAAATTTAGTAAACTATGATAATATTATTGTTTCAAGTTTATAAAATTTGTTTGATTTGTCTTCTAAATTAATTATTATGATATTTTTTGAATAAATTTTGAAAATATTAATTTTGTTTTTTTGATAAATATTAAAAATTCAAACTAAAAATATCTCTATAAATTAATAAAATATTAATTTATCAATAAATTGATAATTATTAATTTATCGATTAATTAATAATTCTATAAATAAATAAAATTTGAGAGTCCCAACATTATTAATTTATAGAGATTTTACTGTAGATAGTAATTATTTGGTGGGAGGTACCATTAGTTTTTGAGTTGAGTCTCAGCAAAATAACTAATCTAACATCCTTTAATTCTCTTTGTCAGATAATTCTATGTTTAGATTTTTAAGAATTTTTTATTATTAAATATTTTTAAAATCGATTGTATAGGTTCTTTTCTAAGAACGGATTCTAAAATATGGGGTTTTTAACATATATATATATATATATATTTTTTTTTTTTTTTTTTTTTTTTTTACTTAAGAACCCCACAAAATCTCTGTATTGTGGATGTTGTAATAAACGGAGTAAAAATTTCTTGGTGTAAACGAAAAAGAAAACAAATAAATGTAATTATTGGGTTTTTGCTTTTTGTCTTCAAGCTTTCAAGACTAGAAAGCGTGTAAAGAAATGTCAGAAGAACCTGTGTGGTCATTTCCAAAGAAACGTCCAAAAATACGTAAATAAAAATACCCACAAGATTGTAATTAATGATACAGTTAATGAAACAAAAAAAATAAAGTACACATGAGTCTAAAAATGCTGAATCTTGGTACTGCAGTTTTTTTTTTAAATTGCCTTCCAATTTCAATTTTATGCAAATAGTCTGAGTCCAAACATTACTCTCCTTTCTATTTCTGGTTACTCTCTTCAATGTCACAACAAATAATCGACTAATTCAAATATTCCACTAAAAGTAACAAAAACTAATCACAATTTTCTTGAAGAAGAAGACTTCAAGAAAGAGAGAGAGAGAGAGACTTACACATTACAAGCGGAGCTCAAAAGAGAGAAAGAGAGCAATGATGTGTAGCTTAAAGGTTGTAACTCCACCGGTGCCAGCGCCGGCGATGAGATTCGGGCGGCAGCGGCGGATAACAGCAAACGGAGATGGGTTTCCGGCATTTCTTCCGAAGGAGGTAAAGAACATAAAAGATCCATTCGCAAGAGCTCTAGCTCAAAGGATTGTACGAATTCCTGTTCCTCTTCAGGTTCTTCATCTTCTCTTTCGATTTTGTTCCTTAATTTCTCCGAAAATTGAAGTTTTTTTGTTAAAGAAAAGTCCAAATGTCCTGCAGATTGGAAACTATAGAGGCTGCGTTATGAGTAGCTGTATCAAACCAATTGTTCAATTACACGACAAAAGTCCTGTCGTTCTTCTCCACTGTTTCGACAGGTTAATTTTTTTTTTACCAACAAGACAAATATTATGAACTCACTAAATTTTACTGAAGATTTCATTTTTTTTTTTTTGGCGCTTAGTTCGTGTTTAGAATGGAGACGCACTTACCCTCTGCTTGAACAAGCTTGTCTTGAGACTTGGGCTATTGATGTTCTTGGTTGGGGCTTCTCTGATCTTCGTAAGATTTAAATTTTACACAAATTAAACTCGATTCTTGAAAAATCACTTCAAAAAGATTTGAATATGTGAGAAATTCTTTTTCAATTTCAAGAACTCACTACATCAATGATTTTTGTAGAGAAACTTCCACCGTGTGATGCAGCATCTAAGCGACATCATTTATTCGAGGTCAGTAATATAAACTATATGAAAACAGAGAAAAAAATGGTCCCTAATTTATGTCATAATTGTTATATCCGGTATTGATTTTCCTCTTGATTAATTTATCTTCTTTGATTTGAAAAAAAATGGTCCCTAATTTATGTCATAATGGTCAGTACTATAAACTATATGAAAACAGAGAAAAAAATTGTCGCTAATTTTCGTTGCCATAGAGCTTATGTCATAATTGTTATACCTTCTTGATTAATTTATGTTCTTTAATTTGAAATTTCAGCTTTGGAAAACATATATCAAACGACCAATGATATTAGTTGGACCAAGTTTAGGAGCAACCGTAGCTGTTGATTTCACCGCTACTTACCCGGAAGCTGTAATTTTCCGGTTTAGCATAAACTAATTCGGTTAAAACCAACACAATAGCTCTCACTCACTGACTAAATCATCTTATTTCCAACTTTCAGGTTGATAAATTGGTTCTCATTAACGCTAATGCGTATTCAGAAGGAACCGGTGCGCTTAAAGAGTTACCAAAATCGATTGCTTACGCTGGGGTTGGTCCGGAAAAACTCTTATCATAACCAAAGATTTTTCTTGATTTTCATAATTCTGATAAAGTCGATCACATATTGATGTTGTTTGTTTCAGGTTAAGTTGTTGAAGTCATTCCCTCTTCGACTTTTGGCCAACGTGTTAGCATTTTCGTCGCCATTGTCCGAGAACATAGATTGGACTAATGTAAGATCGAATCTCCTTTCATTATGTAATTATTATTCAGTATATCAAACCGGTTTTGAAATTGAATCTGTTTTTTTTTATTATTTTTTAGATTGGTCGGTTACATTGTCAAATGCCGTGGTGGGAAGATGCTATGGTCAACTTTATGATTAGTGGAGGCTATAACGTTGCTTCAGATATCAAACTCGTAATTAAAAATAATATACTTCACTTAGCTATTCAGATTAAACGAAAAAAACTTATAAATTCATATATTTTCTGATTTTTGTTTATGTTAACAACGCAGATCAACCAAAAGACGCTTGTCGTATGCAGTGAGAACGATCAGATTGTTAGCAATCAGCTCTCAGTTGTAAGTTTGCATTAATCTGAAACATCCAAAAAAGTAGTTCTAAATTTAATTTGCTCAATCAAGCTTTTTAGCTTTAAGTTTTTAACCAGTGGTTTTCCACCGCACATGGGTGGTTTTTGTCAGTTTTTTGGGGGTTTATGTCGGTCAGAAAAGTCTAGGTTTTATAGTATTATTGGTCCGGTTTACTAACATTACCGTTTTGAGGGGTTTTCCGGGTTTATGTTGGTCAGAAGTCCAACCCAATAATTGATCTAATGGCAAATTTATAGGTTTAACCGGTTAGATCGGACCGGGGTTTATGTCGGTCAGAAAAGTCTAGGTTCTATAGTATCATTGGTCCGTTTTACTAACATTACCGTTTTGAGGGGGTTTCCGGTTTTATGTTGGTCAGAAATCCAACCGAATGAATGATCTAATCACAAATTTATAGGCTTAACCGGCTAGATCAAACCGGGATTTTAACAATGTCATGAACAAAAATGCAGAAATTGTTGTGTGAGCTACAAAATGCGGTTTTCCGGGAGGTACCAGATTCAGGTCATCTTCCACATGTTGAGAACCCTAAACACTTTGTGAAGCTGATATCGGATTTCGCAAGTGGAAAGATCAATTGATTCTACTTAATGTTAACTCTGCTTCAAGATTCAGAGGAAAGAGTTGTGACTCTGCTTCAAGCTCCATCGAGTGGCTGGCTACCGAGGAAAAGAGTTGTAATGTTGTTATATATTATGAAATAATTACAAATAGATTAGTTCTAGCTTGGACTTGGGAAATGGCTATATATGTGTATTTGTTTCATTAATAGAAGAAGTATGTTATCATCATATATCCGAGAGCTAATTAAGAGAACATTAATTTTTCAAGACTGTAGGAGGTGATTTCTAAAGTGTTTTTCTTCACTTTTTCCCCTTCATGAAACATACAATTATTAACGTTTTAAACCCCATCAGACCTCGCCATAGGTGAAATAAAATAAAAGTCATAACAATGGAGGTAATTACTTGCTTGGATTGCAAGAAACTAACCAATACAGTAATTGACTATCGATCTGGAGACACAATCTGAACAGAATGCAGTTTGGTCATTGACTCTCGCTACATGGTCGAAACTTATGACTGGAGAATCTTCCACAAGCTCCTTCCCATCAGGACCAAACTCAAAGTCATCACAAACGTTCTCAAGATCCCTAACCCTAAAGACAAAGCCTTTTCCACAAGCTCCAGGGTCTCATGACTCTCATCTCCGTCTTTCTCAAGTCGTAAAGCTCTGCTCAAAAGCCATCGACGATCTAGGGTTTAACAAAACGAAGGCCAATTTGATTGCCAGTTAGTCGTTTCTTATTATATATTATATTTATATTCATATGACTGTTTATATATTTATTTGGGATTTGTTCATTATTTACTATTATTTACTAGGGGTTGATCCGCGCTACGTGCGGATTTATACATTATTTTTTTATATATTTATAAGATATTAATTGTTATGGTTTAATTTCATAATATGTATAATCCTTCTAATATTGTAGTCGTACATCTTTCCATATATGTCCAAATTGTTTTCGTGATTTCAATTTTTTTTCCGTTTTTCATTTTATTCTTCATTATGATTGTTATGTTAATTCTCCATAAAGATGTATATGGCTGTTTTTAAATTCATTTTTAGTAATTATTTTTAATTAAATAGTATTGTTTTTTAAGTTTTTGTAGTATTTTTGTTTAGCGGACAATATTCGGTTTTATATGGGTTTTTAATATTTTTTAAACTCTAATTTATTAACTTTAGTATTCTTCCATTTTACATTTTTTAATTGGTTTAAATTTGAATCTTCTAAGTTTTAATACATGTGTTTTCTATATGTGAAAATGGTGAAGGTCTATAAGGCCCATATTTGGTAACCCAGAAGCCCAATTAGTGAACCATGTTTTTTGGTGGCGGCTGACTGGCTGTCCTGTACAATGGGTTTTTCTCTGATGGCCATTCTCAGATCGTGAAACGTCAATCTATTTTCTGAAAAATTATTCTTCGATTTTTTCTACTCGATTTTTTTCTCTCTGTCCTACTCTCCCCTCTGTTAATTATATATTTATTATGTTTTTATCAAGTGGCGGACCTTTCTCACTTGCTACAGCGTCTGTGGATTGTGTTTGATTTATTTTATCTCTCCCATTTTGTAATTATTTCTGTGAAGTTGATTTATAATCATTCAGTCGCTCATGCTACCAACTACAGATTCGGAGGAGAGTTGTGAACACCTCAACTGTTTCCGTCGGCTCAAAAGTTACTCCGTGGCCCTTTCGATTGCTTTCATCCTTTGCGCTCTCTGCTCGGAAGGTGATATATCTTTCTGTCGGGTGTTTATGTTTCTTTACTCTAATTTAATGATGCAAAAGTTGATGATTGTTATAGATTTTAATCTATATCTATAACACTCCATATATATATAGATATAAATTAAATAAGCCCATATAGTAAAAAGATGTAAGGTGGATTTGAGAAAAACCATGGATTTGAGCTACATATATGTCACAATCTATATCTATAAATTTAAATGGTGAGGTGGCATCTGATTGGGATGCTGAGGTGGCTGCATGAGAAGAGAGAAAATATTACTTTATAGATATAGATATGTGCCCGTGAGATTTGATTGTCTTACAGTTTTACTTTTAAACTTTTACATCTCCAAAGAGGGAATAGTTTGGGCTTGGGCCAAGGCCCTTGTGGCAACCAAATCGGTTGAAACATTGTTTAAACAGGAATAAAAGAAAAACATATAGAACTACTCAACACGCGAATATCGTGGAGGATTCCTTGAACCTGACGACATTGCCATTGTCTGTGAGAAAAGTGATGAGGTTTTTAGAGTCTGAAAAGCAATTCAGAACTCTGATACTTGAAGAAATTGCATCTAGAAGAGCATATTTTAGTGCGAGGCCTTCCGCCGTTAAAGCCGACCCGACACAGTTCCAACATGCAGAATTTTGGTGGAGGAGGGTTTGGAGCTTGCCTTAAAGATCCATCCAAGTCCACAGCTACCTAATGTCGGATCCCAAGCCGCATCCATAAAGAAATTGGTGACTGCTGGGAGAGTTTTCCTTTGGTAACGTGATCTGACCGGCGGAGGGGCAATCCGTGTCTTATCCATCGAGTCCTGGGCCAAATGCCATTTCTTTGCATCCCTGACTGACTTGCGAGCCACTTCTTCTGCTGTGTAGCTCTTATCTTCAAAAAGAGAAGTTGATTTCGACTGGTCCAGAGGTTCCAAAACACCCACATATAAAATGGCATAGAGGAGATCCCAACTGGTGGTAGATTGATCATACGGTGACAGCTCTGAAGTAGAACTAGAATGATAGTTTGTGCAGTCGGCGAATGCTTGTGTATAGCTGGGATAGACTCCCATACGAGAACTGCAAAGAGGCTGTGAAGAAGAATATAAGATTTATTTTCCACCGCTCCACATTTCTTACATGAGATGTCCACAACAACTCCCTTCAATGCCAGCATTTCCCATACAGGGAGGGCTCTGTTCTTTAATTTCTAAAGAAATCTTTTTAGTTTTGGATATGTTTTAATCTGCCATATACATTGGTTTCAATTGAAGAGAATGTCTGGAATCACTATCTTGTTGATCTTAGATAGAGCTTAGCTTGATTTGGTGGAATACACGCCAGACTTTTCTGGTAACCAGGAGAATTCATCCAGCATATGAAAGGTGCTTGAGATGAGCTTCATAATATGACCTTCATACTAAGGTAAATAATGGCGAAACTCAGAGAGATTCTAATCAGAGGTTCCTGGAGTCAAAAGATCTCGAACCAAAAGGTAAACCAAATTTGCAAAAACACAAAATTTGTTCGATTTTATCAGAAATGTGAATTGGTAGACTTTCTGGATCATTGGATCGATTCGGTCCAAATGTAGATTTGTCAATTTTTTAAACCTACACAATTTTTTTTTTACTGATTACTTTTTCTTTGGTTGCAAGTTTTTGACAAAAAGAAAAATATCGATGTCTATTAGAAAAATAAAACTAGAAATGTAAAATATATTATAAATAAATTAGAATATTTTCATGAACCACATGTTATTGGTAGGTCTTCTAAGGTTTTCTGATTCTATAATAGATCAATAAAGAAACAACAAACTCATGCTCTAACTAATCTGCATATTGTTCACAGGCACATGTCCAAGTTTTTGGAATCCATTCAAAATATCTTGAAATTGTGCTTAGTCATTAAATTTTTCCACCGCTACATTCACATCTATTTTCTTCAGTAGCCAGAATTGGTGTCTGAATCTTGTACACAAGTGAGTAACAACCCAAGGTGATACGGACCTTAAGTCCTCATCAGCCAAGGAGCACGGATCCGGGAGTCATGAAGTGGAGAACATGAAGCTGAGGAGAGCTAAGGAGACATGCGAGTGGAGTTCAGCTCAAATGGAGGTTGATATCAAACATTCAAACTCAAACAACATTTGGAAAGCATACTCAACTCATCCAGAGTTGACCATGAAGAAGAATCAGCTAAAAATAAGTTCATATGAAGAAGATATTGAAGATACAAATTGGCAGACCTTCAATGGACCCGATGGAGATATGCGACCACTAATAAATTCATTCCGGCTAAACGACGACGAATCAAGCCACAAGACCAGATGTTTTGGAAACTTAACTCATCATAGAAACGAGAAAAATTGGATTCATGCCGAAATTCAATATGGTTTAAAAGTTATTCAACTTCTAAACCGGATGATGCTCAGCTTACCTTATTTAGAAGGTCACAAGTTTAATCACTTACAAAGAAGGTTTTGGCGACCAGGAGAGACATCTAAGCATTCAGGAGGCACATATAACAATCCAGGAAAGTCGGGAAACATCTTCCAATGCACCAGCACCCACATGATCAGGCGGATCATGTCACACTTCTACTTACCATATATGGAAGCATTTACACTTGGCTCCATAACTCACCAACGGCTACTTCCCTTCACGATCCGAGATAAGCAAGACTTGGGGAGATTATTCATCATCAAGCTATCAAGATACAAGTCAACAAATCCCTTTCATTCAGCCTTTTGCTCATCTCTCATTAAATGAGTCAAAAATCCCTTTAATATATCTTTTTGATCTTTCTTTGATTTTTGCATAATTCTCTCTTTAGAGTTATTGCCTAGGACGTGTACTGAGCCTATATAAGCTCATTGCTGTTTCATTTGTAGAACAACCACTTTTATCTAAGAAAATATAAAACTTTTGTTTTTTTTATTCAAAGAGTCTTATTTGTTTAAACAACTTGTCTTTAGATTCAATTGAGAGATTCCTTTGTTTCTACTGATTCTTTGAATAAATTTGTTTGTGTGATTCAGACAAGGTTAGTTCCAACGGCTGAGTGAGTCAGCCATCCCACCGACTGAGCGAGTTAGTCAATTCACCATCTTTCCACTTCAACCATATTCAATTCGACTAGCTGAAAAAGAGTGACTTTAATCCAACTTCCAGTCTCTATCATTCCACAAACGAGCCTCAGCCTTTGAAAATCATATCACAAAATTGAAACACTTAACTGTACTCAGTTTGATGTCATCTAGTATTCGTGCTCTCAATGTTTTTAAATATCATTTTCTATTTATATCCAATAGTAATATATCTTAATCGACATCGACATACACATCTACCATTTCTGTCTCTAATCATACGATCTATTGTGTTTGGTTTTTTTATTTTTTTTTAAATTACTTTGGGAAGCAATGAAAAGGCAATGAGACACGAGGCAGTGCTAAATAGTTTGAAAAACAGTAGGTCGTGACTCGCGAGGGACCACTTCGCATTCATAACCCCAAAAGGCTTTACATATTATCTAATTATTACAATTACGTATTTACCTGTACTATGGCGAGATATTTTTTTAGATTTGTATATATTTTTAATATAATAAAATTATTTATATATTTTAAATGAGTATTATATTTATTTTTTATTAGCTTAAGTTATGTATTTATATGTTTTAAATCTAAATAAATATTATATATCATTAATTTTTTTATTTTTTAAAATTATAATCTACTATCAAATTTGTTTAGCTAACTATCTATAAATGTATATGTAAGAATAGAACAATACATTTTTAAGTATCTTCAAGCTAATGGTAGATGTAATTTATTTTCGCTACTAAATTGCTACTTGATCCTCATTTGAAATTATATAAAGCAAATTGTCATTTAAAAAAATATTAATTAATATGATTATTTTAAATTATAAAATTTATTTATTTATCAAATATTTATTATAGACATATGTTTCTAAAACTACCAAACTATAATCAATAA